CTTTAAATCTATATGATAATTTTGGTTCTATGGCCAAAATGACTGGCAGGTACCATCCTGCCAGACCAGAAGCATGGGTTGTCTTTCCATCTACTATTATTCTTTTCTTTGATTTCCTGTGTCAGCATCTTGAAGTTTTCATTTTAGAGTTGTTTCACTGCTTTGCTTAGAAACATCTCTAAACACTTTATCCTGGTGGAGTGACTTTGAATGTTGTAGTTTTCCTAAGTTCTTTTTTGAGAAATTTACTACTGGCATATGTGAAGGCAACTTTTTTATTGATTTATGTATCTGGCAACCATAGTGTTTATTAGGTCCAAGAGTGTCCTCTGGACTCAACAGGGTCTTTTTTTTTTTAAAGATTTACTTATCTATGTATTATGTATACAGAATTCTGCCTGTATATGTCCTTGCAGGCCAGAAGAAGGCACCAGATCTCATTACAGAAGGCTGTGAGCCACCATGTGGTTGCTGGGAATTGAACTCAGGATCTTTGGAAGAGCAGTCAGTGCTCTTAACCCCTAAGCCATCTCTCTGCCCTCAACAGGGTCTTTTAAGTAAAGAATCATGTTGTCTGGAAATAGTGTGACTCCTTCCCTATTTTGATCCCGTAAACCTATCTTCTGTCTAGATCTGATAGCTTATATAAAGTCATCACTGTGCCGGGCGGTGGTGGCACACACCTTTAATCCCAGCACTCGGGAGGCATAAGCAGGCTGATCTCTGTGAGTTTGAGGCCAGCCTAGTCTCCAAAGCGAGTTCCAGGAAAGGCGCAAAGCTACACAGAGAAACCCTGTCTCGAAAAACCAAAAAATAAAAAATAAAAAAATAAAAAAAAATCATCACTGTCTCAAATAAGATGGTGGAGACTGTACACCCTGTCTCCTTCCTGGCTTAGACTCTCCCAGGCTCACCCTTCTATCAGGACAGTTCAGAGTGTGTCTCAGCAGGGAAGGAGAGATCCCTGAAATGACCAAGGCAGTTAACCTTCAGTCTGAAGACCTGTGTGGGACACAGCCTTGCTCAGGTCCAGTTCTCTCTGTCTCACTCAAGGTCTCTGGAGTCTGACATCAGTGATGATGGATCTCTCACCCTCACTCAGTCAGGAGAGAAGTCCCTTTTTCCTGATGTGACACCTAGAGTTCTCTGACCCTGGGATTCCCTCCCACCCCCGCCAATATATAGACTTGCCCAAGAAAAGATAATCCAAAACTCTGTGTGATTGCTACAGTAGTAGCAATTTTCACCCAACCATCACCCCATTTCTGACACTTCCAAGGAAGGACCCATGGACCTTGCTGGAGTCCCCAGGAAGAATGCCAAATGCCTGAGCTTTCCAACTCTTCTCCTCATGCCCCGCAGGGACACATGTGACCCATCACCCCAGACCTGAAGGTGACATCACACTCAGGTGCTGGACTCTGGGATTCTACCCTGCTGACATCACTATGACATGGAAGAGAGATGAAGAGGAACTAACACAGGACATGGAGCTGCTGGAAACCAGGCCTGCAGGGGATGGAACCTTCCAGAAGTGAGCAGCTGTGGTGGTGCTTATTGAAGAGGAGCAGAAATACACATGCCATGTGCAGCATGAGGGTCTGCCTGAGCCGCTCACCCTGAGATGGGGGAAGGAGGGTTTGGGTGTAAATGGGATCAAGAAAAGATAAAGCCTTCTGCAGACCCTGGGTGGGTCAGGCCTGAGAGCTGGAACCATGACCCTCACCTTCCCTCCCTTTCCCTTCCTTCCCTAGAGCCTCCTCAGTCCATCCCCATCATGACCATTGTCTGTGCTGTCCTTGGAGCTGTGGTGATCTTAGGTTTTATCATTGGAGGTGTTATGCTGTGGATGAGGAAGAACACAGGTATGGAAGGTGCGGGTGTGTGCTAATTTTTTTCATTTATTACTTTCAAGAAAGGTGCACAGTGAATGGGTAGACACAACACACACACACACACACACACACACACACACCATATGCACACCCATGTTAATCTCAGGGTCTATATGCTGACAATCACCTTAATGTAAAGCACTTAGAAAATGAAAAACACATTCATAACCCTGATGATGGAGGCGATGAGGACTTGATTCTCAGAGGTCAGAGAATGCCTCCAGACTGGCATTGGTTCATTCCCTGCATACCTCCTTCCCCATGCTTCCTGACCCAAACCTGGTCTGCACTCACAGTTCTGAAAGCTTGCTGGGGACCAGGACTTCCCTGGTCTCTCACAGCTTTTCTTCTGACAGGTGGAGAAGGAGGCTATGCTCCTGCTGCAGGTCAGTATGTGAGGAAGAATTGTCTCTGAGGGTCTTGGGTAGAAGCTGAGCAGATAGTTTCTCCTCCAGCCCCACGTGTCAGTCTCCTGACTGTCTGGTCATTTCTTCTGCAGGCAGGGACAGTGCCTACAGCTCTGACTTGTACATGGAGGCTTTAAAGGTGACATTGTAGGACCTGGGATTGGGGCTGAGGCAAGAGGAGAGGACTGGGTCCCAGGGCCTCTGGTACTTTACCTCTCAGTGAGTGGTGGGCCTTTGAGAGGTCTTTCTATTGACTTTCTTGACTCTTGTTCTTTATCTCAGAACAGCTGCCCCGTGGGACTGAGGGACTAGTTCTGACTAAAGAACCAATGGATAATCTTTGAACAGCAATACTTAGTTTTTCCTGTGCATACAATATGAAAATAATGGGAGCTCCACCCAGCCCTTTCTACCAGGACCTGTCCCTGCACTGCCCCTCTCTCTTCCATGCTCAGCTTTTCAACATGGCCAACTTGTCTTCAGTGCTCACCTTCCTTGGGTGGAGTGATCCTGGAGAACCAGACTGCATTGCTTATAAAGCCCACACAGACTCAGACCTGTGCCCAGATCTCATGATGGAGGCCATGGCGCCTTGCAAGCTACTGCTGCAGCTGGGGACAGCCCTGTCCACCACACAGACCAGTGCAGGTGAGTGGGGGGCCCAGAGGGAAACCGCTTCAACAGGAAGGGTGGGTTGTGGCCCGGAAAGATCGGTCCTGCAACACCCAGCCAGACCATCCTGCCCCTTCTCCACCTGCATTGGAGCCCCAGGCCCTGCTCTCCTCCTGCCCCTGCTCCCCTCCCCCGCACCTGCCCGGGAACTCGGGAGGAGGGTGGGGTCTCACTGTGAGCCACACCCAGGTTCACACTTGCTGTGGTATTTCCACACCGGGCGCCCCAGTACATGGAAGTCCGCTTGGTGGACGAAATGCAGTTCCTGTGCTTCCACAGCCACGCGGAGACTCTGAGGACGAAGTCCGGAGCGCCGTGGCTGGAACAGGATGGGCGGGAGTATTGGGAGCAGGAGGCATGGAACGCCAAGATCACCCAGCCGATTTTCTGAACTACAAACACAGTCAAGAAGGTGACTGACCGCGGGTCGGAGGTCTCCACAGGTCCAATTCGCCTAAGACAGACCTAGTCGCCCCGAGTCTAAGATCCCAGGTTCTGCCCAAGACACAGACTGGAAACTGGTTTCCTATTCAGTTTAGAGAAGGTCGTGGGTGGTCGTACCTGTGGATTGGGGCTGACCACAGGGATGTGGACAGGCTCTCATACCATCCAGGTGATGTCTGGCTGTAAAGTGGATTCGAACAGCTGCCTCCTTTGTGGATATGAAGGATATACCTATGATGTCTGCAATTACATCTCCCTGATGGAGGACCTGAGAACATGGACAGAGGAACAGATCACCTGGTTGGAGATGGAGCAGGCTGGAAATGCAGAGACACAGGGCCTACCAGGGTAGGGAATGCTCCTCAGATACCTGGAAAACCGGAACCCCACTCTGCGGGCAGGTGCTAGAGGGCAGGTGCTAGAGACCTAAGGCAGATCTTGACTCTGCCCTGGGACTGGGCTCAGTCCTGAGGAAGAAGAAACCTATCTGAAGGGGTAAATGCCCTTGTCTCTTCTTGTTTTTAATTTTTAAGCTTTATTAGAAAGAATAAATAAATAAAAAGAAAAAAGCCATACTCCATAATTAACCAGAACGAAGTCTATACCTCTCAGTGAACTTTTGCACAGTTAGAGCAGACATTCTGAACTGTTTATGTTCACACTGCACTTTACATGTTCACTATCAAATATGTTTTTGTGCACGTTCCAGGAATGATACACTAAAAAAACCTATGACAGGTTTAGAACTAGAAAACAATTATATTTATATCCTGTTTAGTAACTCAATCTATTACCTGCCTTTAGTCCTTCCTCATCCCCTAGTATTTGGTCTTTCTCATTGGCTGTCTTTTTTGTGTGTGATTATACGCTGTGCCCACTTGTACATTTGTGTACGTATGTATTCACATCAATGGCTATATCCCACTTGTGAGGAAAAACAGTGGGGACTTTAGGGGGGTGTTTTTGTTTCTTCTTTTATTTTTTTTCTTATTTTGTTTGTTTGGATTTGAATAGGTTTGGGGTTTTTTGTTTTTGTTTACCCCTGAGACAGGTTTTCTCTGTGTAGCCCTGGAAGTCACTCTGTAGACAAGAGACAAGGCTGGTCTCCTGAACTCACAGAGATCCACCTGCCTCTGCCTCCACAGTGCTGGATTTAAAGGCATTCCCCACAATGCCTGGTGTGTAGATTTTTTTCTTCTTTAAGATAACTATCTATTCTTTAAGATAACTTCTTTAAGATAACTGACCATTAGGTGATTGACAATGGTTATTCCTTGGTATTTAGTTTCTGCAGTTCTCTGTAAATTGAGGACTCTAGTCCTTATTTCAGTCCAGCTGGTACAGGTTTCCTCCTGTTGTGGCTTCTGGTCACTGCTGATTGTGTCCTATGCGGTAAAGAGACTTTATTTTCATGCTGATTAGTTCCTCTGGTATTGCCCTGTTCTGAGGCTCTTCTACCCCAGTATCTGGAGGGTTTCCCCTGGGTTGTCTTCTTGAAGTTTGGGTGTTTCCAGGTTGAACTCTATAAGGTCTTTGCTCCATTTTGAGTTCATCTTTGTAGAAGGTAAAAGATGATCCAAGACTTTAAGGAGGGCACCTAGAAGGCAGAGATAGGGGGATCTCTGTGAGCTCAAGGCCAGCCTCATCTACTGAGTTCCAGGACAGCCAGAGTTACCTAGTAAACCTAGTTTCAGAAAGAGAGAGAGAGAGAGAGAGAGAGAGAGAGAGAGAGAGAGAGAGAGAGAGAGAGAGAGAGAGAAGACAGGTAAAACTCTTCTTAGGTAGAAACCTAATGTTGCAGCATCATTTACAGAGTGGGATCTTTTTTCCAATGTTTTATATTTTTTGTCTAAAATAAGTATGCATAGTTTTTCACTTTATTTCTGGGATCTCTATTCTATTCCTTTGATTTTCCTGTCTCTTTTATGCTACTTCCAGGCTGTCTTGGTCACTATAACAATAGTATAATTTGAGGTTGGGATTGTAACACCTCCAGCAGTGTCCATAATCCTTAAGAATGTTGACTATTTGTGGTCTTTTGTGATTCCATATGATTTCTTTTTTCTAAACATGTGAAATACATAGAGTTTTGATAATATGACGTTAAACCTATAGATTAAATTTGGTAGTATGGCCATTTTCACTGTGTTAACTCTGACAGTCCAGGGAATGGATTGTCTTTCCATCCTCTAACATTGTCTTCTGTGATTTCCTATGTCAGTATCTTGAAGTTTTCATTGTAGAGTTGTTCCATGTCTTTGGTTACATGTATCCTGAAACACTTAATTCTGTTGGAGTTACTTTGAATGTTGCACATTTCCTATTTCTTTTTCTGAAAATGCACTGTTGGCATAAATGAAGGATACTTTTTATATTGATTTTGTATCTGGAAACCATAAGTGTTTATTAGGTCCAAGAGTTTTCCAGTAGACTCAATGGGGTCATTTAAGAAAAGGATTGTGTTATTCGGAAGTAGTGATAGTTTGATTTCTTCCTTTCCTATTTTGATATCTTTTATGCCTTTCACTTGTGTAATTGTAATAGCTGAGCCTTCAAACACCATAGCAGATAGAGTGGAGAGTGGACACCCTCACCTCATTCCTGGTTTTAGAAGAAACACTCAGTTTCTCTGCATTGGATATAATGTTGCACCATCACCCTGCTCTTGCATGTGGGACAGGGAGAACATTCCTGGATTTCCTTTCTATTATACTTCTTTCTTTTGTATTGTTTTTCACAGCATCTTTCTCTGTGTAGTCCTGGATGTCCTGTAATTCTCTATGTAGACCAGTATTGGCTCACACTAAGAGATCCTCTTTCCTCAGCTGGTATTAAAATCAACCACATTGCCCAGCCATACATGGCATTCCTAACTAGATGATGGCTCTCCCAGGCTCACCCTCCTCTCAGGACAGCTCAGAGTCTGTCTCATTGTGGAAGAGAGGAGTCTCTGAAACAACCCCAGTTCCTCCATTCTGCAGCCAATTGGGCACCATGTCCTCTCTCAGACCCAGTTCTCGACACACGCGCACGCGCGCACGCGCACACGCACAAGCACACACACACACACACACACACACACACACACACACACAGACAGTCACTGGAGTCACACTGCAGTGATGCTGAGTCACACCACCACACTCAGTCAAGTGCAGAAGTTCCTTTTTCCTGATGGGACACCTAGAACTCACTGACCTTAAGCTCTTTCACCCAGATTCTCGAACATCACAATGAAAAGATCGTCCAAGAAGGTCTAATGGACCTTGCTGAAGTGCCCAGGAAGAATGCAAAACACCTGAATTTTCCAATTCTTCTCCTCATACCCACCAGAGACACATGTGACCTCATACCCACAGAGACACAGAGACACAGATCTCAAGGTGATGTCACCCTGAGGTGCTGGGCCCTGGGTTTCTACCCTGCTGACATCACTCTGACCTGGAAGAGGGATGAGGAGGAACAGACACAGGTCATGGAACGGGTGGAGACCAGACCTGCAGTGGATGGAAGCTTCCAGAAGTGGGCAGCTGTGGTGGTGCCTTTTGGAGAGGAGCTGAAATACACATGCCATGTGCAGCATGAGGGTCTGCCTGAGCCCCTCAACCTGAGTTTCGGTAAGTAGAGCTTTGGGTGCAAATGGGACTAAGATAGCTGGAGCCTTCTACAGACCCTGGGTGGTTAGGTCTGAGAGCTGGAACCATGACCCTCACATTCCCTTCCTTTCCCTTCCTTCCCTAGAGCCTCCTCAGTCCATCATGACCATTGTCTGTGCTGTCCTTGGAGCTGTGGTGATCTTAGGTTTTATCATTGGAGGTGTTATGATGTGGAAGAGGAAGAAGACAGGTATGGAAGGGTAGGGTCTGAGCTATTTTTCTTTTTTCATTCAGCACCTTCAAAAAAGGTACAGGTTGAATGGGAAGACACTCACTCACACACACACATGTGCAACTCTGCCCATCTCTGGGTCTGTGTGCTAACAGTCACCTTACTGTAAAGCATTGAGAAAATGAAGGATAGGTTCCTAACCCTCATGGTGGAAGTGATGGGGACATCATTCTCAGTGGTCAGAAATCTTAAGTGAGAGGAGAATGTCCCTGCTGAGGACTCACAGGTTGGAAATTGGTTCATTCCCTGCATTCCTTCCTCCTGTCTCCTGACTCTTCCCTGGTCTGCTGTCAGTTCTGGAAACTTCCTGGGGTTCAGAGATTCCCTAGTCTCATAGCTTTATTTCTCACATGTGGAATCACTGTGCACTATGCTCAGGCTGCAGGTAGGTTTGGGTAAGGTTTGTCCCTGAGGTTTTGGTTGGAGCAGGAGCTGGTGAGAAGCTCAGCCAGACCATAATTCCTCCTGCAGACAAATCCTCTGAAATCTTGTTAATTTTTTACCCTAGAGCTCTGATGTGTCTCTCAGAGACTGAGATAAAGACATGCTGAGGATCCAGTGGGGGAGGGAAAAAGGGGATGTGAATGGTGCACAGCAACTCTGAGAATGTGGACCTGTGAGTGAGTGGTGGATGGTTGGGATGTTGTCTTCACAGTGATGGTTCATGACTCTTGTTCTGTAGCATAAATCCATCTGTCTGGTCTATGCTGAGTGTATGGAACCATCAGAGGAGGGGATGAGATCACCTAGAATGGGGTTCAGGCAGCTGTCATGGGTTTCAGGAACCAAACCAGGTCCTTGACAAGAGCAGCAAGAACAGTTAAGTGCTCTTAACCACTGAGCCACCTCTCCAGACCCAGATTTATGTTTTTATTTTATATATATGTTTGTCTATTTAATAGATGTACTCCATGTAAATGCCGTAACCATGGAGACCAGAAGAGAGCATCAGATCCCCTGGAGTTACAAAGGGTTGTGAGCCATCACCTGGGTGCTGGGACCTGAACCTGTGAATTCCAGGCCAGCCTGGTGAGTTCCAGGAGAGCTAGGCTACAAATATTAGAAACTGAGAGAGGTAGAAAACTGAAGTGCTGTGGTCTGGCAGAGCACACCTCCTACAGCTTCTCTGGTCTGAAAGAGGCCATGAGGAAGTGGTGGGAGAGCTCTGAAGGCTGTGGCAAACCACAGAGCTCAAGAGGAAACAAGCCAGAACTGCTGCTGGCAGGGTTCCAGCAGCAGCAGCAGCCACCTTAGTGAAGGCTAAACCCCAGCAGCAGCCACTGAGACTGAAAATGTAGCTCACATGGAAGAGCGCCTGTCCAGGTCCTGGAGTCGCTCCCTCCTACCACAAGAGAAAGAAACAGAGACTTTATAGGAGGTTGGGACAAACAGGGCTTCTGACTGTGGCTCCCAGGGAGGGCCCTTCTCTCCAGCTGCCCCAGCCTGCCTGCTCACCTGGGAGTCTCCAGAAGACTTCAGTGGATGGGGCAGGGAAGCCTGGGCTCCTATCAGCTTTATTCCTCACACCTGTGACCCTGTAATCCCAGCATTTGGGAGGCGGAGGCAGAAGAATCAGAAGTTCAAGACCAGCCTCACACAGTGATTTCAAAGCCAGCCTTGGCTATTTGAGACCCTATCTCAAAAATAAATAAACATTTCAGAAAATAAACATAAGATTATGTACGTGTGTGTGTGTGTGTGTGTGTGTGTGTGTGCTTTCATATGTATGAGGGGATCACAAAACCAGAAGGGAATCACCGAGAAAGGGAGGCAGAGCTCCTAAAGGAGACAGGGATGATGCAGAAGCAGCAAAAATCTATTTAACTAGCACAGAGCAAAGCAGCTTGTTGTTGGTTGGTTTTGCTCTTTACTCTTTGTGGGTCCGCCAACCAGCTCCCAAGTAAATCACACACGGAGGATTATTTTTAAGCATATTTTATTTTATTTTTATGTGCATTTGTGGTTTTGCAGAGGGTGTCGGGGTCCCCTGAAACTGGAGTTACAGAGAGCTGTGAGCTGCCATATGGGTGCTGAGAATTGAACTTGGGTCCTCTGGGAGAAGAGTCAGTGCTTAACTCCTGAGCCATCTCCCCAGCCCTGAGGTGTATTCTTAAAAAATACATAAGTAAAAATTAAAACAACAATAAAGAAAAAAAACTCTGTCTGGAGGAAATTGTTAACTGGGTCCATTATTGCAGTGGGTCAGAATGTGTAGCCTGAGTGGTCAGGAGTCAGGGTGAGAAATGTCAGCATCTTCTCCAAGGGCTGAGTTTGTGGTTTGAGATCATGGGCTTTCAGGAGAAGGTAGGAGTTGAGGACAGAAATAGCAGGGAAACAAGGGAAGCCATAATGGTTAAAAGTGACACCATAGAGTGACTTCAGGAAGATGGGTGAGGATTCTGATCATCCTGATTGTGAATCCAAGAAGTCTATATTCTGGATAAGCCTGTGTCTCTGGTGAGGTCACTTTCTATGGCTCTAGTGACCTTTGTTTAACTGAGGTCTAAAAATAACAGACATTACAGATAGAAATAACATTAGATTTTACATTTTGATCTCTCTGCCTAATGGAATCAAATCTCTGTCCTGCTGGTCGATGCCACCTGACACAAGAACCATCCTCTGTCAGTGTCTACCCTGTCCACACTGCACAGGGCTGAGGTACTTAGAGGCCACCTCAATTTTCAGACCACTGTCCCACACCATGCACTATCCATCTCCCTCCTCTCCTCAGCTCATGGTCATCTCTCATCACCAAAGTGTGAGCACACAACAGCCAGTCATGGCGATGGTCCTGCTCTGTGAAGTTGTTCACTTCTTAACCTGTCTGATTGATTAATTAACTGTATCACAGGAGTGTCTATACAGCCACACATGGAATGTGGGCAGCGTTCACTGCTGGGCTGCATTCAGCCACCTGCAGGAAGGGGGGCAGCTGTACTGAAGCTATGTTCTGTCTTCATACAAACTAGGGCTGTGGAATGAAGACCATTGTAAAATACAACAGTTGGGACCAGGGATGCATCATCTGGGGACAAACACTAGGAGACCCTGGGTCTGGCAGGAGGCTGCTTTAACTCATTCATTCACATAGGAAGAACACAGATTCCGGACCAGTCAGGCTTGGCATGTGAGCCTCTGCATGTGAACACAGGACTCTGGTCTCTAGGAGTCTGTGTGATGCTTTCAGGCCAGCACCTCCTGCTTTAAAGAGAAACCATTTCTCCACTGCATTCCTGACCAGCTCTGGGTCTTCACACTGGGATTGGGACTAGGTACTTCTACTGGCTGCAGCCAAGGGAGGATCAGACCCAGGCAGGTGACTGTGAATAGGGAAAAGGCCCCTGTGTGGAGGGATGGTGCCTATTGGGCACAGGTTCCTGAAGAACGTGATAAAAATCGCTGTGATTGCAAGTTACAAAGTCTGCGACTTTATGTTACTATGCTTTGATTCTCCCCACCTCTGAGCATGGAACCCCTGTGCCCTATGCCTCCTTCCTGCTACTGGTGGCCTCCCTGGGCCTGGCCCAAACCCAAGCAGGTGAGTGCTGAATCTGCGGAGGGGCAGGATGACCTGTCTTCTTCAAGCCTTGCCCTCTCTCCCACTTTTTCACCTGCGCCCTGCTCCCCTCTCCCAGCTCCTGCCAGGGGAGAGGGGGGTAGGGGGAGGGGCGCTGGAAGAAGGGCAGGGTCTCACCACACCTGGGCTCACACTCGCTGCGGTATTTCTCCATCAGCAAGTGCCAGCCAGGCCTGGGGGAGCCCCTGTACGTGGAATCCGGCTACATGGACGACAGACACGCAGTTCATGAGCTTCGACAGCAAAGCAGAGACTCCGAGATATGAGCCACAGGCGCCATGGATGGGGCAGGAGGGGCCAGAGTATTGGGAGAAGGAGATGCAGATCGCCAAGGGCAATGAGCAGACTTTGCAGGTGAGCCTGAGGACCCTGCTTGGCTACTACAACCTGACCCAGAGCGGTGAGTGACTTTCCTATAGTCAAGACTAAGACCTTGGGTCTCCTGTCCTAGGTTCCACCCTAAATGCAGGATACTGGATCCCTTAGCTTCACTCAGTCAGGAGAGAAGTCCCCTTTTTCTGATGTGATACCTAAAATTCTCTGACCCTGGGCTCTTTCACCCATATCTACAATTTCCCAGAGATGAGATTTATCCAGAATGCTGTGTCTAAGCTACAGGAGATTTTCGCCCCTCCCCCACCTCGTTTCTGACTTCTCCCAGGTCGGTCCCATGGACTTTGGTGGAGTCCCAGGGAAGAATGCAAAACGCCTGAGCTTTCCAACTTCTCCTCGGACCCTCCAGACCCTCCGCGTGTGACCCATCACTCCAGATCTCAAGGTGGTGTCACACTCAGGTGCTGTGCCCTGGGATTCTAGCATGCTGACATCACCCTGACCTGGAAGAATCAGGAGGAACAGATACAGGACATGGTGGAGACAAGACCTGCAGGGATGAAAGTTTCCAGAAGTGGGCAGCTGTGGTGGTACCTTTTGGAAAGAAGCAGAAATACACATGCCATGTTGAGCATGAAGGTCTGCCAGAGCCCCTCACGCTGGGGGATTGGGTTCAAAGCTCCCATCAGGGAAAGGTGAAGCAGTCTACAGACCATGGTCAGAGTCAGGCTTGATAGCTCCATGTATGACCCTCACCTTTCCTTCCTTTCCTTTCAGATCCTAGACCCTCTCCAGACAACCATCACCATCGTGACCATTGTCTGTGCTGTCCTTGGAGCTGTGGTGATCTTCGGTTTTTATCATTGGAGGTTTTATGATGTGGATGAGGAAGAACACAGGTATGAAAGGGGCAGGGTCTGAGCTAATTTTTTCATTTAGCACTTTCAAGAAAGCTGCATAGTGAATGGGAACAGACACACACACACACACACACACACACACCCCATGTGCACACCCATGCCCATCTCTGGGTCTGTATGTTAACAATCTCCTTACCATAAAGCACTTGAAAAAGGACAGATTCATAACCTTGATGATGGAAGTGGTGGGGACATGATTCTCAGAGGTCAGAGGCCAGAGGCGAATGTTCCTGCTGAGGACAGACCTCTAGACTGAAATGGGTTCATTGCCTGCATTCTTCCTTCTTCATCCCTCTTGACCCAACCCTGGTCTGCACTCACAGTTCTGAAAGCTTGCTGGGGACCAGGACTTCCCTGGTTTCTCACAGGTTTTCTTCTCACAGGTGGAGAAGGAGGCTATGCTCCTGCTGCAGGTCAGTATGTGAGGGATGAATTGTCTCTGAGGGTCTTGGGTAGAAGCTGAGCAGATAGTTTCTCCTCCAGCCCCACCTGTCAGTCTCCTGACTGAGTCTGGTTATTTCTTGTGCAGGCAGGGACAGTGCCTAGAGCTCTGACTTGTACATGGAGGCTTGAAAAGGTGATAACCTAGAGCCTGGGATTGGGGCTGAGGCAAGGAGGAGAGGACTGGGTCCCAGGGCCTCTGGTACTTAGACCTCTCAGTGAGTGGTGGGCCATTGAGAGGTCTTTCTATTGACTTTCTTGACTCTTGTTCTTTATCTCAGAACAGCTGCCCCGTGGGACTGAGGGACTAGTTCTGACTAAAGAACCAATGGATAATCTTTGAACAGAAATATCTGAGTTTTTCCTGTGTATACAATAGGAAAACATCGGGGCCCAACCCAGTCCTGCACACCAGGACCCTGTGCCTGCACGGCATTTGTTCCCTTCCACAGCCAACCTTCCTGTCCAGCAGACAGGAGGGGACATCTCCATCCTGTCACCTCCATGCTGCCCTGAGCTGCAGCCCCTGACTTCCCACTGAAAATAAGAACCTGAATGTGAACTTGATGTTCAAGTCCTTGACCTGAGAGCCTGGCAGGTCAAGTTAAAGGAGAGGATTCTGAAAGTGTGATGGAGACAATGAATGGCAGCTTGGAGAACCTTCTAGAATTTGTATTTTCTATGTTGAGTGTCGAGGGACAGGAGGAGTCTGTGGGAGCTGAGTGAGGATGGGGCTTTGCCAGGGGAGCTCAGTCCATGTGTGAATTGCTGTGGTCAGTCCGTGTGTAAATTGCTGTGGTCAGTCCTCAGCTATGTCCTCCTGGCTCTTGTCCTTGTTACTTAGTATAACCACATCCTGATAGAGTCTGTGATCACAGGGACACTGGGATGACAGAGCCTTGTCCTGCGTCCAGGATTGTGAGCAGCGAGGGCTGCTGTGACAGGTCAGCCTGGGCTCTGACCTGACCTTGGCTCTTCACCCTGTCTTCTCTGTTTATTTCTTGTCTTTTTAGTTTTTATGGAGGACTAGGCCTGTTTTTGTTCCTCTGAGTGGTGCCTGGCTCATCCCCCTTTGGGGTTCCTCAGTGACAGCAGGAGGAAGCATTTTCCATCCTGGTCCCCTCAAGTCCCCTGCACACAGGAGACTGTGGCCTGAGATGGACTTCAGTTTCCTGAGCTCCTGTATCCTTCCAGGGATGTTGCCTGGAGTTTCTCCCATTTCCCACCTTTGAGAATCTCACTCCTGTCTGTAGGATCAGCAGAGAGGACTGGTCCACAGGGTCTCAACTTGGATCCAGTCCTTGGGGACTATGTTCTACTCTCACCCAGAAAACATGCATGGCAGGTTCACAACATTATGATCTCAAGTTTCTGGTCGTGAGGGCAAACAGCTGGCAGGGAGCAGCTACATGGTGGCTTTGGCATGGATTCTTCCTGTCACATCAACCTTTGCTAAAGGCATTCCAGCTCTGACACAGTCTCCACAGTGGTGCTCTCCAGGGGAAGGTCTTGATAGATGGAGAAAGCTCAGCAGAAGACATGAGTGAGTGATGCATGGGTTCAAATCCTGTAAGTAACACTACTTCCACACACTGACCCCAACCCTCTCTTTTTTTTTCCGGTGTTTTTTGTTTTTTCTTTCTTTATTTTTTTTCCTTTTATTTTATTTTACAATACCATTCAGTTCTACATAACAGCCACAGATTCCTCTGTTCTCCCCCTTCCTGCTCCCTCCCCCTCTCCCCAGCGCACCCCCCATTCCCACCACTTCCAGATCAAGGCCACCCCCGAGGACTGAGATAGACCTGATAGACTCAGTCCAGGCAGGTCCAGTCCCCTCCTCCCAGATCGAGCCAAGCCGTCCCTGCATAAGTCCCAGGTTTCAAACAGCCAACTCATGCGATGAGC